GGTTTGGTTCAAGGTAGCTTCACCATATGCCACAGTCAACATTCGGAATGCGTCCGCGCACTTAATTTTGTTTTTCACACAAAATTTGATACATATTCTTTGATCCATTTCTTGGAATAGGCAAAAATCGAAGACGAGCCAAAACACGTCCAAGCAAAATAGCTGTCAAAAATTAACTGAACATTCAAAATGGCCGAACTTGTCAGCATGAGTGAGGGACATGAGTACCAACATAACGCCACAAAAAAATCGAAAATCGAATATACGTAGCCCGCGGAAATTCAAAATTCGCGATACTTTTTGAACAGACCTCGTACATATTACGCAGTTGTATGTCATCGTTCCCACTGAACGATTCATGTTGTACAATCTTAAAAATAATTCTTTCCGCACTCTTTAGTTCATTTAGCGTTAACCTCCCTATTTTAAGTTCGCCTGACTTGTCGGATTTACGCAACCTATAATTATTAACGAATCGCTTTATGCGAGCAAAAACTCCCACTACAGTACGGAAACTAGAGACCTAAGGAACATAAAAGGGATCTATTTTCCCGGTACAATTCATCTGAGCCATCTCCGCGATAATTTCTGACTCCAGGATTTCCCTGTTTACATTAGCAGTCTTGCGTATTTCGTTTTTTATTTCGTCTTCGCAATACGTCACAGTTGAGATTGGCCACTCAAATTCGTTACCCCTTAGCCAGTCCGGAGTAGTCCGGACCGCTCCACCAATTCACACTACGGAGCATACCGAGCGTACAGCCACATGACGGCAAATCCGCTGGGTTTAAGTCCCCCGGAATGTGTCTCCATTCTCCATGACTCGACAAACCTCTGATCTCTCTGACCCGATTGGCCACAAAAGGGGCCCAAGGACAATTGTGTTGGACCCAGAACACTACTGTGCTAGAATCACTCCAATACGTAATTCTCTTATCGACCATTTTAAGGGAATTCAAAGTAGAACGCGCTAGTCTGGCACCCATGCAGGCTGCCAAAAGTTCAAGGCGAGGAATCGTCATGGAAGCAACTGGAGCCACCCTAGCCTTCGCCGTAACAAATGAAATATTGACTTCGGAAGCACATTCCATGCGGGTAAAGATTATCGCAGCATACGCCTTTTTACTGGCATCGCAAAATACATGAAACGTTATGTTAGTCTCGCGCATTGGTGAGACAAACATCCAGCGCGGGAACCGAAGATCGTTCAATTCAGACAGATTGCTTAACCATTTCTTAAACTCGTCCCGAATCTTGTCATCAACCTCGCCATCCCACCTGATTTTAGAAACCCAGATTCGTTGCAGTAAAAGCTTGGGAGTAATCATCACAGGGCATACAAAACCAATCGGATCAAACACGCGATGGGAATAAGAGAGTATAAGCCGTTTCGTAATTTTCTCGTTCATGATCCCCTCAATCGAAGGAACCACTAGTCGCAGGGTATCTTCCTCCTTATCCCACATCAGGCCTAATACCGATATATCTCTCCCTTCCGTTTTCGAACCAGAATTTTCCCATCCTCGAAGTTCAAATGCTCCCTCACTCATAGCAAGACTCGCATCATACCTGAATTGCTCGACCTCGGTCATTGTGCTCAAACTAGTAACACAGTTGTCTACGTAAAAGCTTTCCATCAACTTAGGGAGATTTTTCTCTGGATTTTTAAACCTAAATTTCATTTTTTCGTCTGTAAACAGTCGTTTCAAATGATGGTCGATCACCGCCCCTAAAAGGAAAGGGCTACACGACACGCCAAAAACTACGCGAACATGTCGGTAAGTTATTATATTTCCCAGTTCATCATACCATAGGAATCTTAATGAATCTCGATCCTTTTCAGTTAAACATATTTGCAAAAATGCTTTTCTGATGTCACTCACGACACCGATTCTTTCCCTACGAAAACGCATTAAAATAGTGGAAATAAGCTCAATCAAATTGGGCCCCTTTTCTAAACATTCATTAAGTGATGGAAAGTTTTTACATTTTGCGGACGCATCGAATACCGGACGCAGCGGAGTGGTACTATTTTCTTTAACGACGCCCCTGTGAGGCAAATAGTGTGCTTCCTTGTCGACTTCATGGTCGGGTACCACTTCGATAATTCCTTCCGTCAACCAATCTTGAAAGACTCGGTCGTATTCCTCGTACATCATGGAAGATCTCAGTTTCCTCGCGGTCGTAATGAGCCTCCTCTCAGCTAACTCCTTGTTGTCGGGTAGAACAGGATGTGTCTCTATCCACGGAAGACACACTTCATATCGTCCTTCCTTATTGACGGTGACTGTTTCCTCGAAACGCTGCATAACCTCGTCGTCAAGATCTTTGCGAGACTTCTCTTTAATTTGGTCGTTAATACCGATCACATCTAGCTCCCAGAGATCAGATACACAGGCTTCACGCTGAAACATAGAAATAACCTGCCCAGCAATATCACTAGCAATAGGTTTAGAAACTTGACCCATCAATGTCCAGCCAAGAGATGTCTCGATCGCTGACAAACCACACTTCAACTGCACCGTGCGACTAGTCGTCAGTTTTCCCGCTATGTCCGCTCCGATGAGAACTCTAACTGGCGCAGCGTGCTCACATTTACTCGGTCCGTCGGAGAGTTGTACGCCTAGCTCCGTCAATTCGTCCATCCACGGCTGCTTCTCCCACAGTGGAATTTCCGCGCATATTTCTTCTTCGTCAAATGCTTTGAAATTACATGAGTAACTATTGTCCAGACTGGCTAAGTGAACTAAATATTTCTTGTGCTCCTTAACCTTCGACGTGACATTGCCGAAAAGCGAATGCCTGAGCTTGTGTTCACTGATTGGTTCATATTGCATGCGACGAACAATGTCTTTAGAAACGTAAGATCGAGTGGAACCTGGATCGAAAAACAACCGCACCACGCACTCTTCTCGGCCATTCCGAATTTTGGCATGTAGCGTTTGTAAAATAACATCCGCTCCTCTGGTTTGGTTAGAATTTGATAGCACTTTTCTCTTTACTGTCGTCTACGTTAGATGGCGTCGCCGTTGCACTACCTTGGATGTTTACATCGGGACACATTGGGTGCTTTCCAGCAACGTACACAGGCGACACTGTGTAACACAGTGTACGACCCAGTGCTTTCCAACTACGACACAAGTCGACACAAGCGTACACAGCTAAAATGCTGTGTTCGCATTTTTGTGTCACTCCATGGATACCAACATTTTTACATATACCATTAATTTTTCTCCGGTGTGGTATTCCGGTAGGAAAATTTTTAAGGTTATATTCGGAACAATTCAGATACACTATTTTCTGTGCATATACACCGGAAAATTTAGAGACAAATTATTAAAGTGAATGCCCTGCACTCTGGCGGTGAAATAAAAAAACTAAACAGCGTTTCAGCTACAAGTCGACACTGTGTAACATTGTGTCACACAGTGTATGACTGTGTTCTGTAGCTGGAAAGCACCCATTAACACCACGTGTCGACGGCTGCACATAGCACACTTTTGACTACCGCGACACGCGCGACTCTGATGCCCGATCCTTAAGCAGTTGAAGCATGCGTTTTTCCGTTGTAAAGCTGCCTTTTTCTCGTCCATTGTCATTTTTCGCGCCTTTTCACACTTCGTGCTCGCGTGTTCATTCTCACAGAACACACAGTTGATTGGTTTGATTGGTTTGCTCGGCTTTCCCTGCGCGTGCAGGCTAATAGCAGACGGCGTATTTTTTTAGGAATCCGACTGTTGTTTCTGTTTCGACGTCTTGCGTTCATCTCTCTTCAAGTCGAAACCATGCATGGCTATCGTTATCCTTTCTTCGTTCTCCACCTCAGATCGTAGAAACTTGATTAGTTGAGTAAGACCATGAAGAATAGAGATAAGGAGGCTCAACTAATGCTTTCGAGAATGAGACCAAAACCCGGTTTCTATGGTAGTTCAAAATATGTACACCGGCGGCGCTACGGTAGATAAACTATTGATAAACAGAAGTCGGGAGGAGATAAATAGATCTGACAATGAGTCGGGATAAAATTCTTCATGAGTAACAGAAAAACGCAAATTGTCATTGCCATTTTCGTAAGTCTATTTTCTATTAATATACACTCACACTGTGTACGTGAAAACACTGAAAACGCTGTCGTGGAACGGAAGCGACATCTCGATTAGGATTTAGTACTAGCAGTGACGATCATTTTTGGGCTCAGAATCTGACGCATCCGCCCATATAAGTTGACCCTCCTTATCTCTATTCTTCATGAGTAAGACGTTCTTCTTTCCGTTCTCCGTCCACTTCAGTCGGCACGGGATGGCGCCAGTGATGCCAGCCGAGAACGGTAGCACGGTCGCTGCAGCGGCGGTGGGGGTAGAGTGGGGATAGTCCGTCTGGCCACGCCTGCGCGCGCACGCTCGCACACAAGCAACACGTCGTAGCCAAACGTCGAGCGCACACGTTTTTACAACAT